AGTTTTTCTTCTTTCGACCTGGTAGCCATTGCGGTCTGCTGTCGGGATCACACTGCACAGGGGGGGAAAAAAATCGAAAAATATCTTTACATATAGTGGAAACTTGCTAAATTCAAAACAAAGATACAGGGGACCTTTTTCAAACTTTTTATCAAAAAACAAGTTACAATAACTCTAATAAGCTTTTACAGGCATTGAATTGTTAGAGGGCAAATTTGCCATAGAAATGCAGCATTTGTTATCTATTCCAATTTGTACGAAACAGGGCCCTGATATGACAAAGTATTTATGCTAGCCCCTGCTCATTAAAGTCTTTCGTTGTTGGTTTTCACCCTCATAATTATAACAAGGCATTTTTTCACAGTCCAAATGTCCTCGTAATTAGTGGTTTCCATAAGAGGTACTGCATGGGAGATTATTACCGATACGCGTAAAATAACAAAAATAGTAGAAATGAATTCATAACCCACAGTCCTATGATGGGGTAAACAAAGTTTGCAGAGATATGTTGTTTTCTTAAAGGAAATATGGTATTCGATCCATGATTTCTCATATTGTACACAACTTTATTTAATAGTTCAATTATTACTAAATAGACGCCAAAGCTTTGGACTACGATTGGTGCAAATAGACAATTTATCAGCAAGAATTTCAGGTGTATGGGGCACATTTTTGGGGCACACCTTTTGCCTGAATATCCAACGTTCCAGGTTATGATTGATTTCTTTGCGATCTAGCCGGAAAAATGCACTTTTAACTAATGTGGTAGGATTTTCATTGAATCATCTGTGAAAACCAGATAATATAAAATACAGACTTACAAATTAGTGCATCGATCTCATGCCTAAATATAAGCATAACGGATGCCTACATATCGATTTTGTTGAGAGGCGTAGTCTATTTTTTTGTTGGCAGGAAGGGGACAAAATTACTTAATGTGCAATTGTTTGTTATATCAAAGCTTCACAGAATTATTGCATCAGGGAGAAAGTTTGCCCTACTTATTATTTAACATTTTCCTTGATCGTTTGTCTGATTATTAGGATATTTATGGTTTGAAATTGAATTTAAAAATTCGTTTTCCTAACAGTTTTTATAACATGAGGAAATTGAGTATGGTAAAAACAGTCACTCAAAGATTTTTACTTTTTTAAGGCATTTCATGATCATTTTGAAGCGCAATTTTTAAAAATTCGTTTTCCTAACAGTTTTTATAACATGGGGAAATTGAGTATGGTAAAAACAGTCACTCAAAGATTTTTACTTTTTTAAGGCATTTCATGATCATTTTGAAGCGCAATTTTTAAAAATTCGTTTTTCTAACAGTTTTTATAACATGAGGAAATTGAGTATGGTAAAAACAGTCACTCAAAGATTTTTACTTTTTTAAGGCATTTCATGATCATTTTGAAGCGCAATTTTTAAAAATTCGTTTTTCTAACAGTTTTTATAACATGAGGAAATTGAGTATGGTAAAAACAGTCACTCAAAGATTTTTACTTTTTTAAGGCATTTCATGATCATTTTGAAGCGCAATTTTTATAGGGCTTCAATATTACACCATATCATAGACACTGATAACGCGTAGGGCCACGCATCTCAGATTTAATGTTGTTAAACGGTGCCTTTAATATTGATTTTTGCGTTTTAGTCCCCGTCACACACTTGATCTCTATTTTGGAATTGACGCCCGGGTAGCCTGGGTTTTGTATAATGGATTTAGTAGAGTATTATGTCTGAAACCCAATAATAAGATAAAAGTTAAACAAACCGAACTTTAATTCTTGCATACTGACTTTCGTAAGAATAACTTAATTCAGCCGATTACTCCAATAGGTTCTCTCCCTCTCGCAAAGTTGATGTATCAACAAACGATACCTGAATTTGCTTTGCTCATGTAAGCTTTTCCTGTGTTTTGTAATTTCGACGAAAATATGTGTATGCTATTCAACTGTATACAAATCAAATAAATGATAAAAAATAACCTGAACAAATATGGGTCAAGGTATATCACGGTCCATCACAATCCATCAATCAATCATATAGTCAAATTTTGCTAAGCTTTGTGTAACAAGGCCCTTTACTTACACCTTGTGCACTTTTACCGTTACAGTTTATCAAATGTGTGTTTGTTTGTTAACATACAGAAGCCCCCCTCTCTATTACTACGATTTCATCGGAGAAAAAGATGTATCTAAATACACAACCGATGTAATCTCATCGGAAATATGTTTGAATTTTATAAATCATCGTTACAGCTTTTACATTAATTGATAAACTCGTTGATTATTTTGTATAAAGGGTAATGTTGTCCATGAAACAGTTATTCCCAATGAATGTCAGACTATTTTTGTTTATGTTTCATAATTCCTGTATGAAATTCTACATGTATCATTATAGCATTAAGATTGATCAATTACAGTTGCACAGCATGGTATAGTTTTAACAGTGTATCAATTTGTGACAACTCTTATTGAACTGGCAATCTGTATTGGTGATTTAAGTAACTCCATGTTACCAGTGGAAAGTTACTTTGATAATTATACAGACTACATGTAGAGAACAAAAACAAATTATCTTGGATTTTCATCGATGAATTTTTCACTATTTATAATATTAGAGCACTGGCTGCAAATTGTAACTTGACATGAAACTTTAATTATAGTTTCACTTACACCCGGGAATAAATGTGACTTTTCACGAGTCATCTATACACAGAGTTTAGCCAACTTAGTTTCACTGGGTCACAGCATGGCGTATATTCTTTTGTTTTGTGCTTGCCCAACAAAGCAGTAGTCGCCATATTGGCCCGAATTCACAAAGCAAGGTTTGAGCTCAGACCAAGGTTTACATACGTCATATGACGCGTTTTAGACCTTGGTTCAGACCTTGGTCTGAAATGCATTTCACAAAGCCGGTTTGTCCTCAGACCAAGGTTTTCGTACGTCATATGACGCGTTTCAGGTTTGAGTTCAGACCTTGGTCTGAAATTACATTTCACAAAGCAAGGTTTGTCCTCAGACCAGGTTTATGTACGTCATCAGACCCGAAATTTACAGACTGCTCAGATAGGAGGTTTGTAATTTCTCAAACCTGGTTTGAGAGCTATTAACCAATCAGGATGCAGCACTGGGTGGAGATAATTTATGCTCGATTGATTTTATCCAAATAATTCACCGCCAAAACAATCTGCGATAGTATCTGGTCAGCCCGATTGAAATCTCTCAATCTCTCGATCCTTTCCTTAAAATCGTAAGTATAAAACCTGTACATGTAGTCGAATTCATACTCTTCACGTTACTGACATTTCACTATTTGATATGCTTTATAACTTTCCATTTTCCATGAAATGTTCGGTGTTTTCATATCCGACGGCCTCTCAATTCCGATGCTCAGGGACTGAGTCTGAGGGAGCTCGAGTCCAACGCCCAAGGCGGCGGCGGAGCTCGCACCCTCTGACCCTGGGCTGGAGTTGGGCCTCGCCGGGCCGGGCCTACCGTAGATATCTGAGTAGACTGTCATGTTTAATTTTGTCTTGTTGTCAGCAATGCCATGACACATGCCAATTAGACTAGGCCTAGACCTACACTAGTTATTACAAATTCATGATAATGATAATAATACCAGGCTCTAGCTTAGGCCTGGCAACGATGTCCATCACTTGACTTGGACACTGTCGTACCTAAATAAATAGAAATTGAAGTGGCATCAGCAATGCCAATGTTCCCCAAAACGAATCACACTGACAAGCATAGACCAAAAGCTTCAGTCTCTCTATATTGCCAGTTGTTCACTGAGACTACGTCTGGCTCCATACTAGACCTCCGATTATAGAATGTCAACAAATGTCAGTTTTATTATTTTTATTAAAGAAATGACCCACATCAGACGGTTATTTCTGTTTATGAGTCATGGCAAGCAAAGCTCTTATTAAATTTAGATCTGGTTCTAATTGTCTTAATTAACTGGCTTAGTCTCCAGAGCCAGGATCACCCACAAAGTCACAAGCACAAGTAACATTTCTTTATTTTAAAAACATTGTTTAAACATTTGTTTCATTTTATCTTCACTCTAGTAAAGATGGTAGAAATGCAGCTGATTCAGCATAATGAGCTGGTGTACCTGGAGGAGGAGCTGGAGCAATATATAGCAGCACAACTGGGCAGAGGCCTCTGAGATTGGGAAAACCCGCTGGATGATGAGCCTTTTGTTTTAGATCGAGGTACTTTGAATTCAAATTCTGTATTGGGAAAGTTGGTGAAAACATGGCCAAACTACTTGATGAATATTGTTAACATAGCTATAAAAAAGGGCTTCTGTTGTAAAAATCCAACCCTAGTGTCGTTATTAAAATCAAGAAATATTTCAATTCATGTTGACCGCCTAAATTCACTGTTCGTTTGCCCCGCTCCGCTGGTCTGCCTACGACCGTGCAAGCCCCTAATGCCATGCACATGTGCGTTTACATAAATTTATTCAATTTCTAAGCATTTTCTGTCATATTCCATACATTGAAAGATTAGTTATGATATTTATTCTTTTACATGGTAGGTGATGAAAGCATTAATTTTCATAATTTGTGTGTGGGGCACTTCCCAATACTGTTATTTGGCTTTAATACATGAGGAAATTATTCAGATTATGTGTTGGAAACAAATTTGTGATTTGTTGCTTAAATTTCACAAAAGGTGAAGCCGTGAAGGAGATTAGAAAAAGCATAGACAATTTTGTCTTTTACGTTAAATTGATTCACACAACATCTAGAAATCAGGATTTTTTTTTTTTTTTAAGTGACAGTGACAGTTGGAGATGTAAAAATATAATAGCATAAACCAGCAAAAAAATGATTTATTTGAATGCTTGTTTTTTAATTTTTTTTAAAAAGGTAATTCGATCTAAAGGATGCACCGTGAGGAGGCGGCATGCCTTGTCATATTCATCTGTTTGCCGAATGGAGAGTAGTGAGGGATGTTTCCGAAGCTGTTGTCAGAAGAAAAGGACAAGTCATGAAGTTTCCTACAAGTTACAACAAGGCAAAAAGTGACTACTATTCAGAAGCAGTTTTTCCAGTACTGCAGATTTCCAGGAGTTGCTGTTGATGGGACACATGCTTACATCAGGAGCCCTGGTGGGGCAAGAGCCAGGTACTACTTCAATAGGAAGAACAGGTACTCCATCGATGTTCAGGTGAGAATAAATGAATACATCATGACTGGATCCTGCACGGCTTTCCCTTTAGACCTTTTTTTTTGTACCTTGCAAAATTTTCACATTAGTTATATACACTCTCCAGTCTTGTGTGTTGTACATCGATGCTAATTCATTGGTGACCAATGCAAGATTTCTAGTGGCCAAATGGATATTAAAGTAATATTCGCGTACAGGTACTCATTTCACTGCCTTTGTACACAGTTAAGAATATCCAATGGATAGTTAAACTTAAAAATCCTAACACTCGTTAATATCTTTTTAACGAAAGGGAAATTTGAAAAATCAAAACTTGTTCCATCCTTCTATCGGCAATACGGATATGACCTCTAGATTTCTGATATTTTTTTGATGGCCATGGCAATTGGGCTACTGTTTTTGCCATTGATCAATGAAAGAAAAAACAACAAAGAGAAGCATGTAAATTGATCAATGGCAATTACCACTATATATTTTAAACTATAGAAAAACAAACAGGTTCATTTCCAATAAAAAGATGCGAGAGTGGGTACCCCCCCCCCCCCCCACACACACACACACACAAAGCATTTGTTGTTTTAGGCTCGAAATGTTTTGTTAAAAGTGAGATTATTTTTGTTTACATTGTTACAAGATAAACAATGAAAACATGAATTAAAAATGAAGAAATACTTCATCAGTCAATAAATATAGGGTAATTAGAATTTTCTTCCAATTTTTGTTGTATGAATAGATATTGAAAAGCAATTATCACACATTCAACTGCATTTGCATTAATTACCATAAATAACAAGTGAAATTTATACATTTCACGGCCTATCTGAAGTATGAAATGAGTGAGTTTTCATAACTAATGAATGCCAACATGTTATTTCATATTGACAGGTTGTCTGTGATTATGCTGGGAAAATAACTAGTATCGTTGCAAGGTGGCCTGGACTGGTAGCAGCCACGATGCCAGGATCTTTTCTGAGTGTGCACTGAATTGACAGCTTGATGCTAGGGCATATGAATAACAGTTGATTCTTGGAGATAGACTATAGGGTAGGTACTGTAGATTATTTCTTTATATGAAAACATTTGTTTATTCTTTTTCTTAATCAATCTTGTTTCCTTTTTTGTATTTGGCCAACATGTGACATGTTAGGAATGTTCATTTGGTAATATAGTAACAACTCGCATTAAGTAATTAATTCACACGAGCTCATGTGCTTTTAAATTTCAGTTCACAAATCACAATTAATGTTTTTGATATCTGGATGCAACTTGATTAGTTTGTTGTCAAGTGGAACCTCATAGTTTTTGTATTAGTGACACAGGATTAAATAATTCCTGATTATGTGTACAATACATTGTATCCTTTCTATAGTATTCCCCCCCCCCACCCCCCTCCAAGAAAAAAAATGAACAAGTCGAAATTAAGAATATTGTTTATGATATTGTTTATTTTGTTCATTCAATTTTGCAGGTATCCATGCCTTCTCTGCCTCATCAGAAGCCATTTCTTCATTCAGAGGGTCGACCACAGATGTGCTTTAAAGGCCATCTGTACTAGTTCAGCCAAAGAGGATTAGACAACCCAGCAAGGTCACTGATGGGAGGCTATCTCATCAATTCAGTTCTCAATTAACATAAGAAAAAGAGGATCATGGGGGATTAACAGGCACAGATTGGGGAAGTTTTCTATATAGAGGGAGCAAGTAGCTAGAAGTAGTACAGTGGGGCTTTAACACTTCACACACAAAAAAGGGAGATGTGTGATTGAGCGCATATTTATTAAATGCAAGGATGAGGACGTTCCATGCCTCATCAATACTAAGAGTATTTCAAAATATGGCCCCTCCCTGGTGTTCCCACAATACTTCGTAGTTATGCAGCATTACATCAAGAACCTGGGTGTTGAATATTTTTGATGTTATGTTTAGTTGATAAGTATTTGTTGTCACTCTGACGGTATTTGTAATTAGGTGTTCTCTATAGATTAAATGCACCCGATTTAACTATAATTAGCATTGTACTGCTGAGTTGAGGGGTGGGTCAATATAAATTATTTGGTTCGCAGCTAGGGGAGAGTATTCGAACAAATATTATTTACTGTACTAAGTGAAGTCAGAATTAAAGAACTTTTATGTGCAAATTTGAATTTTCGTCACCCATTTTGTTGTATTTCTGAATTTCTTTCTGCTAATAGCGCTACAGTGAGACTTTTAATTGGCCTTCCAGAGCCTCTCTTAACCTCTAGTGGGCTATATTTCATATAAGCATGCTACAAAATTTACAAATGTGAACTGCATTGTTTAACAAACGGTAGATTACTATTGTGTTGTATGCTCAATTATTTATGTAAAACATGAAAATACAAATACAATATTCTTGCTTTCATATATTTACAAAGATAACTGAAATAGATATGTGTCAGATTATCTCTCTCTCTCTTTCTCCCTTTTTTTTTTGGGGGGGGTGCAGATGTGTGTCTTTGCAGTTTGCATGGTTTTGCATTATGTGTTTCATTGCAAAAAAGAAGAAGAAGAGAGAGAGAGAGGGGACAAAGAAAAAATTAATAGAGAGAGAAAGGGAGGGAGAGAGAGAGAGAGAGAGAGGGGAGAAAGAAAAAGAATTAATAGAGAGAGAAAAGGAGAGAGAGAGAGAACAAAAATGGGTATAGAAAGAGAGGAGGGACGGGGACAGAGAAAGAGACAGGGAGGGAGAGAGAGAAAAATGAATAGAGAGAGAGGGGAGAAAGAAAAAGAATTAATAGAGAAAGGGAGGGAGAGAGAACAAAAATGGGTAGAAAGAGAGAGGGACGGGGACAGAGAAAGAGACAGGGAGGGAGAGAGAAAGAAAAGATGGCCATAGAGGAATTTTTAAAAATTAATATTATATGGAAACAAATCATTTACCAGTTACAATTTTGATGTCAAAAAAATAGCCAGTTGGGGAAACAAACGGGGAACTAGTTAAAATAATAATTGATTGACCATTCTAACAAAATAACTATATAGATCCATAGTAATTAACAATTGCAATCAAATGAATTAATATATTAATCACAATAAAAACTTAATTCATATTAAATCATTATTATTATTATTATTATTATTAGGTGATTTTATTGATAAGAATTTGTAACCCCCAAAACAATAAGACTCTTACAGTTCATTTAAAAGAGCCCTTGACAACCTTAGATGTATTTATCTAACGAAGGTTTTCAGGTGCCGATGTCAATTTGTTCTGGGTCAGATTGAGTGCTTCACCAGCACCACACAAATGTGAGTACGTGGGGCACTTTCTGCATCGGCGCGCCAGTTTGGTTCGATTAATTCATGAAAATGCAATTCAAAAGTTTATTTCAGAGATGTTCTAACCATCATCTTTTCAAGATTGCTCATTAAGATGTCCGGATCGTACTAAGAATGCTTAGTTTAACAGTTTTTTCAATTCTTAACATTTAAACCCTAGCCCATACAAATTATGTTAGAAACCCTATGGCTGAGACTAGTTTTACAAACCTTGGTCGGAGGTTTGGGAATTACAGACCAAGGTTTATACAAACCTTCCTTTGTGGAATGGGTTTGAAAATAAACCAGGTCTGAGCTCAGACCGAGGTTTGTACAAACCTTGGTCTGATCAAACCGGGTTTGTCCTCAGACCTCCGTTGTGAATTCGGGCCATTAATTGTGTCCAACTCGAACCGGGTTGGCCAAACTGTGTGTATAGATGGCTCTACATTTTAAAGTTACGCTGGTCGATCGGTGGAAGGTCGTGTTAACTTAATCGTGGCAAGTTTGTCCGAGTAAAAGCGTGTGGACAACTAACGGTGTGAGTGAAATATACATGAGGTATTTACTGCTGCAGGGATTAGCTTACCCCGACTCTCAAAACCCCGTCCGAACAAGACACTATGGTTTACCACGATATTCCATGAACAAAAAAAAACAATTGGAAATCAACACGTTTTTTTTCTTCTTCACAAAGCATTGTCCGTCAGGCAAAAGGGCGTATCAATTTGTCAAAATAATGCTCGGCCGTCATTCGGAAAAGAGGGCGTGGTACGGGATTCTTCAAGATACGCCTTATTTGCTTAATTGCTGCCAAAAATTGTTTGACAAATTGAACGTATCTCGAGATACTCACTTTCCCGTGAATGCAACAAATGCTTTTTGTGAAAAGGTATGTGACATACCTCCTCCTATCTCTTAAACAGTTAAGTTTTGAGATTGGAGACCTATTTTACCGCAAGATTGTATTTTATTCACCCACGAAATGTTCTTAACACAATTCACCCTTACGCCCTTTTGCTTTATTACGGTTGTTAATAATGAAACTTTAAAAAGATACATGATGTAACTTTTTACTGACTTTTAAACATGTTCATTGCCTTTTACGAAAAAGATATTTTATTCAATCTAGTGTACACCTGTCCAGGACCCCGTTTCATAAATTTTGTTATTTATAACAAATGCTTAATTTCTATGATAAATTTGCTCTCAGCCAATCATACTTCTTGATTTCAGTAGCTTATAACAGTAGCTTGTAACTTGATATTGATATCAAGTTTTATGAAACAGGGCCCAGGAAGTGGGTGAGAATGTGGTCTTAGTATTAACGGATATGACTCGTGTTAAGCAACATTCATTCCCGTCCTATGGGCAAAGTTTAGTACCATCTCTTGTTGGCTTGAACCCAATATACTTCCGATGATAGTGTCCAGGCGCGTACGCAGTGGGGGGAGGGGGGGGGGGTTGTGGGTTAACCCCCCTCAAAATTGTTTAAGTTAAAAAATAAAAAAATAAAAAAATTGTGTGTGTGTGTGTGCCAAAGGCCCCCCCCCCCCCCTTCCATTGAGCGAAATATCGGTCGGCGCGATTTTCAAATTGTAAAACCCTCCCCTTAAAAAAACTCCTGCGTACGCCACTGATGGTGTCACAATGTTCGATGAATCTGGTTCAAGTGTTAACTGAAGCTTATATTCACACTCGAAACATGTATACATGTTTTGAAAGTAGTATACTACGCACTTGTCAGAGCTTTAGAGGTAGCGTAACAGACATGATACCATTGTCCGCTTTGGCTTGACACCTTTGATGAGATATGAACAGCCCATATCAGTAATCTCTATTCCATTCATCATAATTTGCTATCAAAAGATCAAATCGGAAGCGAATGTGGTATAAAAATACTTAGACTCAAAGGTAGGGGGTCTGGGCAGCAAATATTGCCACATTTTGCCCCAAACGTGATTTTTGTTTTATAGAAAGCAATGTTTGACGTTATTTTAATCATATTGACATACTACTAGAATCGGAGAGCTCGTTGGGTTGTCTTGTTAGAGTTAGATACACAATTTGCCATGGTAGCCAGCTTAAATGAATTTTGGCAAGTGAACATTTGTATGGAAATCTTTCACATATATCGAACCATATAATCTAATTTCTTGAACATCTTTAAAATTGCAATGTTATTTCAAATTCACAACACATTTGAATTACGATTTACACTTAGAAATGTCGTCTTTGTCCGTTATCCTACTCATTTGTTTAAAAATATGTTATCGTTATGCTTGATATTCTCATGAGAATTTTCAAGTGAAAGCTTACCGTGTGCCTTATGTCCGAAACAAACAACGAAACGCGCGAGGTCTTCAGTCTTTCCCCTCATCAGCAGTGTTGACTGTATTAACTGAATGCATCCCAGCTAGCTACCAAGGATTTACAATAATCTTGTTCTGATTTCAGTCAAAGTTACAGATAAAAACTCACTCTAAAGGTTGTTCTTGAACGTGTCATGAGGAAAAACGATGTCGTTGATTATTTTGCACGATCAGAAACAGGTAGGTTGGTGTCCATTAAATGGCGAATCCGGTATTGGCACTATGTCGAAACACGCAGTGCTCTGAACACAATTGCCCCGGAAATGAATCTTGATACAGATTTCGTGTGCAGAAAAATGTTATTACCCATATAATCCGAGTCACATGTAGAATATAAGGACGAGATACCCTGACTTAGATAGTGAAAGGCAGAGGGGAAAGTTTGTGTACAGAAAGGTGGTATAGAGTGCGCGTAACCGGAAACGAAAACCTTCCACGTGAAATGTTTTGCAAAATCATCATTATAGCCATGTCAGCATATTATATTTTTGTGATAGTAATACATGTATGTACAGCGACATGAGCGTCAGAGCCTGGTGGATACCTGCGCTATATAAATATCCATAGTATTACTATTATTATAATATTTGAATACATATGTATTGCTTTAATAGTCTGTCGGGAAAAAAAAATATTTGTGAGGCTCATGATATAATTGGCCCGAGCTAGCTATTAAGGAGAGTACTGTATTATTTGGAAGCTAACAGCGACAGACAAAAGAGCATTTTAGAAAAGACAGCGAGAGGGAGAAAGAGAGAGAGAGAGAGAGAGAGAGAGAGAGAGAAAGGGGTGGTTTTTCTTGATATATTTATGGATAAACTACTACCAAATCACACTTACTCGATATAGAAAGATTGTTAATAATTTAATCATTGCTGCCGAACAACCTCGATAGATGTATGAGGATGCCCGGGCTGGTGTTTCTCTGTCTTAACATTACCCCGTATTGTTTTCACTGGTG